AACTCAAGCATAAGGGACGTGCTTTAATGAAGTTATATCATGTTGGCACACCAATGGAAAGTGTAGCCATTGACATTACTGGTCCTCTGCCCCAAACTCGTGCTGGAAACAAGTATATTTGTGTGGTGATGGATTAGTTCACCAAGTGGCCTGAGGCATATGCAATACCAAATCAGGAAGCTACAACTGTAGCTTCGGCTATTAGTGATTTTTTCTTCAGGTTTGGTATGCCATATGAACTGCATTCAGATCAAGGCCGTAACTTTGAATCAGCTGTGTTTCATGAATGCTGCAAGCTGTTTGGCATATGAAAGACCAGAACAAAGTCCACTTCACCCACAGTCTGATGGGATGGTAGAAAAGTACAAATGGACACTTGGACAGGAATTGGCAAAGTTTTGTAATAGTCGTCAAGATGACTGGGATGTCTTACTCTCTCCACTGTTGATGGCCTATAGGACAGCAGAGCATGAATCCACTGGATACACTCCAGCAAAGTTGATGTTTGGTCGGGAACTTCGGTGGCCAGTGGGTTTGTTAATAGGACGCCCACCTTATGAAGAGTTGCCTGAAAATGTGTCAGAATTTGTGAAAGTGTTATCGGAATAGATGGATAATATTCACCATCAAGTGCGTTCAAAGTTGAAAACGTCTACTGATTCCATGAAGCTGTGTTATAATAAGAAGTGTACTGAAGTCAGCTTTGTACCAGGAGACAAGGTGTGGTTGTATAATCCCAGGAAGACCAAAGGGGAGTCTCCTAAGTTGTATTTCCATGGGAAGGCCCATATGACATAGTGGATCGTCTCTCAGACGTGACTTTCTGAATAAAATGCGGTCGGCGAGGTACGCCAAATGTGGTGCATGCCAACAGGCTTTGGCATTATCACGGTCCAGGACATTTCTGTTGGGACGAAGTGAACAACGTAACAAAGGATGCTGATAAAGACATGTCACCTGGAAAGGTCACTGTCGAAAAAGAAACTCTACTCGGTTTTGAGAAGGGAAACAATGAAGCCCTTGATGAAGTTACTACCACTGATGTGACTGTTACCGATGATAGGACAATTCCCGATGAGGCAGATGAACCTCACGTGAAGCAGAAGCCAACGAGATGGAGACTAGTATGGAAGAAGATACGTCCCGTCAAATTAAGAGACTTTGCTGAATTTTAATTTTGTGTTTGTAAATTATGTATATTCAATTAAGTTAATGTTAATTATCTATTGGTTTAATGTAAGTGGCTATTGTTGGGACGAACAATAATAAGGAAGGGGCAGTGTTACGACAGCGGGAGTCGCGCAATGCTGGGAACATGCGCTGGAGTTCTAGAAAGATCGAGGAACCTGTCGAACGTCCTAGCGTTTGCTAGATGCGCACTCTTATTGTATATAAGCCGGCCAATAAAGTCACGAGATAGATAACTGCAGACAGGCAGAGACAAACGTAGACTATTGAGTCAAGCACGGTAGTGACTGTAAATAAAGTGTGTGAATCGTTGTGCATTATAGCGTGTGTTTAAGTTAAAGTGACTATGGAAATTAAGTGTATTGCAAAGTTGTATTGAGAAAGAATAAACTAGTTTTCTTCAAGTAAGGACTTGTATCTCTAAGTTTCATCCGATAGAAATTATACGGGAAATTAACAAACGACAAGAGACGTAACAATATATAATATTATTTTTAAATTCTGACAGTCATAATAGGGATAAACATAATAAATTCAAGAAATTTAAACTTACTGGAAATAATAAGGACATAAATATTATTGGAAATAATAACATTGCCCAGGCAATTATAGGCTAGTTGGTCTTATATCAGTAATTGGAAAGGTTTTGGAGAGTGTGATTAAAGATGCATTGCAGAGTCACTTAAAGCAATTTGATATAGTATCAAAGAAACAGCATGGTTTTACTAAGGGGAATTCTTGTTTAACAAATCTTCGGACATTCTTTGAGGATGTTACTGAAAGAGTTGATAAAGGAAATAGTGTGGATTGGTTTACCTTGATTTTCAGAAAGCATTTAATAAGGTGCCTCACAAAAGACTTGTTACAGAAATTAAATCTATGGGTGTGGGGAAAATATTATTAAATTGGCTGGAGAGTAGAAAGCAGAGAGTAGTAATAAATGGAGTTAAATCTGACTGCATCATGGTTACAAGTGGTGTGCCTCAGAGCTCTGTGCTGGGTCCTCTGCTGTTTGTGATTTATATAAATGATATTGACTCTGGAATGACTAACAAATTTTGAAGTTTGCAGATGAAATTAAGATTTTTGGGGTGGCTAACTGTATCAAAGATGCTGCAAACTTACAGGGAAATATAGAACAGTTGATGCATTGGACCAATACATAGCAGATGATGTTTAACTATCCAAAATGTAAAGTGATGCATGTATGTTTTCACAATTCAAATTGTTGTTGCAATTTAAATGGGAATACATTAAATACTGTGGTTGAAGAAAAAGATCTTGGTGCTGTGACCGAGAAATCACTTAAGTCATCTAAACAGTGTATTGTAGCCAGCAATAAGGCTTATAGGATTTTGGGTAGCAGCTATAGAAACATTGAATACAAGACAAGGGATGTTATTTGTTTACAGTATAGATCACTTATAGGCTTCATTTAGAGTACTATGTACAGTTTTGGGCTCACTTCCTCAAGAAGGACATTGAATTGTTGGAGAAGATTCAGAGAAGAGCCACTAGGATGATACCTAGGATGGTGAGATTGTCCTATGAGGAGAGACTAAAATCTCTAAATTTGTTTTGTTTGGATAGGAGAATAGTCAGAGGGGATTAGATTGAAGTGTTTAAGATTATTAAGGGTATTGATAATATAGATCCATCAAACGTTTTTGTGGTCAGCAGGAAAACGATAGAACAAGGGGGCATAAATTCAAATTTTGGTAGCGTAGGAGTCGTCTGCAGTTTAGACAGTATTACTTTTCAAATAGGGTGGTTGGCTTTTGGAAAGAGCTGCCTGCAAGAGTGGTGGAGGCAGAAAATTTAACAGAGTTCAAGAAAAGATTGGATAAATACATGAGTAGTAAAAGGTGGTTATAGTTGGGAGCTAGAGGGACATCCTTTTGGGGATAATAAGCTCCTTTTTGTCCCTTTAAATTTTTATGAAATTTCCAGCCATAAAGTCAATAATAATTCACGAGATTCAGCCATGTTTAGCAAACTCAAATTTCAGTCAGTTATATGTTGATTCTTTTATACTATCAACCCCTGATAAAGAGGTGCTCGTTAGTCCCAAAGCTGGAGAGTAAATAAATGTTTTTGGAGATTTAGTTTAGTCGTAAAAATTAGTAGTAATGATCATCTGTACTCTATAGTGAGATGTTATATATACATATTAAAACGATTAAGTAATAATTATTATTTTCGGTGTAATTTAAAATAATATTTCGTGTAAAGTAAAATATTTTCAAAATACTTTTGAAACAAACTTGTCAAAGGAATGATTTTAAAGCGCCGCAGTTCCTTTGATAGGAGAATTTTGGCTTCGCGGAGTTTCAGCAGTGGGGTAAACGATGTAATGGCGGATATTCTACTCTCGAAGTCAAAGTTGACAAATATTAATGGCATATTTTTGGGTGTCTTGGCGAAAATCACCGTAAACGAACGGTGCTTTTCATTAAGTTATGAAGCTGCAATATGCTAAAATAAAGTGATTATTAATCCTGCGAAATTTAAATCGGAGAAATCTAAGTCAGAACCACTGGCTTTGCAAGCGGTGGCATATTTTCGGATCAGGTGGAACAATATGGCTTCTAGCTTTAGGCCTAACATGGGCATTAGGCCTAGTGATGACCCCAGCCCAACTACCGAAGTGGTCCCATTTGCAGATTACGAACAGGGTCACCATGGTCATTTTTTTGTAAAGAAGACATTTCATAAGCCTACGTACTGTCATCATTGTACAGATATGTTATGGGGACTAATTGGACAAGGATATATTTGTGAAGGTTAGCTACTGTAGAAATAGAATACTGTCACGTCACTGAATAGTAATTAGTATAAACTATTATTTTAATTACTACAAAGTACAAGTATAATATGTAATAATATTAATACTTAAGCTGAATTGAGTGTTTAAGCTTGTCTTTGAACTTAAATGTTTTAATTTTGAGTTATGATTATATTTATAATTGTGTAGCGTTTAATTTTTTTTTCTGTAGAATTTGTAGTGCATACTGGAGTGGGGTGATCTAGACAGTTTGGCAATAAAGTTATAAAAAACGTCATTTACTCTCCAGATAATAAAATATTTATGCCAATGTTTTGCCATTATGTCATCATGAGGACTACTACTAGCCTTGATAAAGCTGCAATGGTGAAGAGTTGATAGAAATAAAATGTTATTATCTGGAGAGTAACTTGCTAACTTTACTGTCAAAGTTACTGTTATTTATTTGATCAGTATTTGTAAATTCTCACACATATCTTTTAGTTTTGATTGTTATATGTATATTTTATTGAACAATTTTATTTCACTTATAGTCTGTTATCTTATTCTGCTTTATGATTTTTTTATTGTTTTAAAGTTTTGGTGACATTGCTTATATTTGTGCAATGATAATGTGTAATTTTCAGTCTTTGGTTTTGAGTTAAGATGTCTGTTTTCTGTCTTAACTTTCGTGGGTCCAATTCTTAGCTTACCATTTTTGAAGCTTTATAAGCATGTTTGCTTGTACAAGGCTGTCTTGATACTAATGGTCTGAGACTTCCAACCGTGACATCACACGAGGGTCGACTCTGGTTGTATGTAATTCTTTTGCAGATTATTTATTATTGTATATTTGTATATTTCAATTAAATATAATACAATTTATGTAAATTGTGGTCAGATGTGATATATATATTTTAAGCTATTTCCTAAATTGGACATACTACAAAATTCAGGAAAGAAGAATTATTATGTCTCCACAGATAGACATAACGTTTTTCTGTTGTTTCTTATTCCAAACACATTTTCATCTACCATTATTTCTTCTCAGCAGATTTACTTGAAACTTGGTAGAGTTACACATTGTTCCGATTTGTCCAGACACATTTTCCTTTTTTTTTTATTTAACCCTTTTTAAGGATTTTATGAAGTCAAAGGTAAAACATCCCTAGGCAGTTATATTTACAGCAATCAAAATGCAAGTTGGCACAAATATAAGTTTTTGTGTGACCAACACATTGGCATACAAAATATTGGACTTGCCCATTTTTTAGTAATTGTAGAGGGAGGGGGAGATGCCACAAAAAACATAATTTTAGTGTTTTTTGACATTTACTCCTCCATATTTTGGCCAATTTACATGGGATTTAGTACAAAGATACTTTTTTACAGGTCCCAAACAGAAATATAGACAATTTTGGAATTTTTGTCTTTTGCTCAATATTTTAGCTTGGAAAGCACAACTTGGGTTTTTTATGAACTATTCACATGCATGTCAACCAACTTGCATAGCATTTGGTACAAAGATACCTTTTTGCAGGTCTGAACCAAAGACATTGATAGTTTTAGGTTTTTCTGTTATTTTCACAATTTTCTGGTGTCAAAAGTGCATATGTTGGTATTGTATGGCAGTGACATGTATTCACCTGTAAATGTTGGCCTCTTTAATTACTAGCATTTTACATTACAAAACACTGAATGACCAAATAGGACAAGTATTTAGTGTGTGATTGTGTCTTAAAATACAAATAAATGTTATTCCAACTATCTAAAACATTTATTGAATAAAAAATACATGAGCAAAGTTTTAATATTTAATTTATAACATCAGTAAATCACAAGAGAAAATGGTATGTGGTGTTTAAAATATAAATACCTTACCTACATGTTCAAAATCTAATCTATCTAGTGATCGTTTGACACAAAATTATACATAAAGGCCTATAATTTCTCAATAGATAACACATTTTGATATAATAAACAAACACAATAATCATACATCTAGCAACCACATAATAATCATATTAATTAAATGATGATGCTTTAAAGTGTGCTGGACTTGTTTTAACTTAGGACTTACTTTTTTATTGCTAAAGTTTCTAGTTTTCTGTTCTTTTTTAACTTCATCATGCTTGTCATTTCTTTGTTTACAAAAGTTATTTAGCAAAACATTTGTGATAATTGTAATGCATTACTCAGTTAAAACTGGCAAAGATTTACCACACACACAAATACCATCTGAAACAACATTACTTGCTTCTAGTTTTTGCATTACCAACTAAATCACCAACTTTCTTTGATTTTTAGATTTTAAATGAGGGTTTGAAACACTTGAAAAGTAGTTTCATTAACTAGGAGAGTGAACTCTGTAGGTCAATTTAACCTTCCCCTGTCAATCACTTGCATATATCTTGATAATCATCATTAGTGCACTCAATTTGTAATTCTCTATCAGAAGCTAAACATACTTTATGCAAGCAACTTTTTTCATGCACTTTAAGCCACGTAACCTGATATATATATAGATTAAAGCCATCATATTACTATTAGTAATTTGCATAGTCTGAGAAAACATCTTCAAAGAACTGATCTATATCCACATCAGTTTAATTTTCTGCACAAGTTTAATTTGATTTAGTTGAAACTCTCCTGATATAGCTGATTTTAAATTGATCAGACTTATCAGCTTCAATTTTCTTTCTGGTATTAAAATTGGATTAACAGGTACAAGATAAGTCTCCACCACTCATTTGATGATACTGACCAAACTGAGCTTCTGATTTGTTAGTTTGAAATTTCCCCAGTAACACATAGGTAGCTTTCATATCATTTAATAAATATTCTAATAGTGTAACAAGTGTTTGTGATGTATGCTTTAAAGCTTAAGAAGTTTTTCTTGACAACTTTCCTATTCTTGGAAATACTTTGTTAGCAGAACCAGTAAAAGTAGAGGTCACTATTAACTTCTCCCAGGCTTTAAAAATGTGAGATTATCTTCATTAATAGAGCAAGTACAATGACATGATATCTCATGAATGTGTTTCACATTCACTATTTTTTTCATCACCTCAAAATCATTTCCATAAAATGTAAAGTACCACACAAATCATGACTAAGTTCATTCTCGAAAATCTTTATGCTGCTATATTCTTTTCATCAAACAGTCTTACTACATAAAGTACATTTTGGCATTCTAATGTTGTTGAGCAAAGTACTTTTTTTTTGATAAAGTGGATGCTAACTTCACATAATCATTTTGTTCCTTAAAGTAAATCTCTCTTAAATGAAGCAAACTAGCTACAGTTGATATACTCACATTATCAAACATGGGTATTGTAAATTACTGATCTGTAGGTTTTGCTTGATTCAACCAGTTAATAGGTAAACAGTGTCAAACAACAAAAATACTTTGTGGTCAGGATCATATGGATTTTTAACACTACATTTATTAATCTCTTCACCACATAACAATTCAATCATGTTACTATTAATTCTGTTAATTGTCTGAAATCAAAGACAATACACAATAACTAGCTTCATGCACTACAAAAGCACTTTCAAAGTTAAATTCTATAGATGGCTAGCCTTTGCATTTTGCACTGGAAAAAGAACCTGTGCAACTTTATTTCTGGATAATACTCAGGCTGTCATGAAAGCCTGAATTATTGTTGCATCATCATTGGTACTTCATGAGGTTCCCTCAGGCCTACCATCTTTATAGTAAATACATTTCTTAACATCAGGGTTGTAGCTGCAGTAGGACTCATTTTGCCTGCCCAGCACTTCCGTGTCATGTGATCACTGCCGCCTTACACTAAATATTAATAAAATTTCTCACCACCTTTATTTTTTTTTAGACTTGTTCACCTTATAACATGTTTGCCTAGTGACTGCTCATGTGCAGTGTGTTACAGATTTTTTCAAAGGAATTTACAAGTTATCAAAGTAATTAAAAGTATAAACAGGAAAATAATAACTTTTTTTTTCCTACTTGCCCATATTATTGACATTTCAGGAGCATATTTAGGCTTGCTGTTAATATGTAAATGAATTTGTTGTTGGAGAAATGTTAACTTTTTCTTGTTTTTCAACCATATATTATCATTTTCACTTTCACTACATTGTATTTCTGTACATTCTACAATTAAATTTGTTGCACACCAGCATTTCTGCTGGGCTTAGTGATGAATATGTAATATAATATGATTTTAAATGGCTAATTAAACAATCAAATTTTGTCCATTTATCACACTTTTGGATAGGTCCCAACATTCATTTGAATTTCATCACTTAAATATTCCTGTCATTATTCCACATATTCACTGATAAATCAGACAAATGAATTAACAATGTCTTTATTATACCATTTTGCAAATTCTACTCCATTCTGTGCTGTTGCCCCAGGGAGTTTTGCTTAGGGGGTAGTTTAAATGTCAAATATGTTGGCTGATTTGGAAACCTTCTTGAAACAACCAATATAATTCTATCATCTTTTGTTGCACTATCTTCAATAATAATCAATCTTTCACTAAAATGTTGAATACACACTATCATAGAACTCTTGTTCAAACTGATCTTTAATCTTTAAGTTTATCCATTTTAGTTGCTGATGGAATTCCTTAGGAAAGGAGAATACATTGATGTATGTTCCTAATTTTTTAAAGTTTGAATCACAACCAGGAACACATTTTCAAGGCATCTAAAGAAGCAGAAATGAAAAATTAAAGTTAAGCTTTACATAGATAAATAATACATCAATTTATAGCAAATTATATAGTTTTGGAAAACTTCAAATATCATTTAGTGTTTATAGTGGCCATGCCTCAAATAAAGTTTAAATTTAGTATTTTCCAGATCTACATAAACTAGTATACTAAGAAATGGTGCTGACATTATATCACAAATATTAAAACTGCTTTATGACACATTGAATTTGTCTTTGCTTTTTTACTGTAGATTGTATGCAAAACAATGTATTATTTATAGAATATTGCCCAATAACTGAATAAAGTGGATCATCCTCCTCAGTATATGTTAACTTATTCTACAGCACACATTTTATATTTCTAATGTTTATCAAGTGAAATAGCTTAACCCTATATATTTTTATTGGTAGCAATAACTGAATATATTTATTGATAAGATTAAAGTATAATGAGTTATTATTATGCTCTGTGGTTGGGTATTTGTAGTACATGTTTCATGTTTATTTTGTAGAGTTAGGTTAGGGTTAACAATAACATAAATAACACCTAACAGTCACATTTCACGGACTATTATAACTTAGGGTTTGCTATTTTCAAACTTACTTAATATAAATAATTAGTTTACTGTACCTTGAAATGTTATAAATCTTCTACCACTACATAAAAGTAAAAACTGGAGGTCCTTTCTAAATAGTCACTTCACATTCGACATGGCCACCTTTATACTTTATCACCACTGGATTGTGCTTTTCATGTGGCCACAGTGTGTGATTTCACAAACTAGCTGTAGCTACAGTATATGGCCTTTGTTTGTTCCATTTTTTCTTTTTCCCTTTTCATTGTTTTTTTCTTTAACATCTGAGCTAATAATTCCGTAGTTTTGCATTATATTGATTCATACCTATGTACTTTAATTTATAGTTTGTTTTTAGATTATAGCATATTCATTTTATAGAACATTTATTTTTCACCAATTTTTTATTTTCATTATTATTTGTTTAAGATTTTTCTCTTTTGTGTCTAAGTTTAAAAAGCCATTGTCTTACTGGTTTGTAAAGTATATTAAAGTATTCAGTAATGCCAAGAGTAATTAATGATTTAGCATGGTTTTAGAAAATTTATTTCCCAACCAGTTTTGAGTTTTTAATAGTGCTTGGCCTTTTTGGATGAGCCTATCTGAGTCAGTGATGTTGAACTTGGCTTTCAAAAAGTCTTTGATAAGAACTGCACAAAAAAGTTAATTCCTTAGTTGGATGAGGTAATTATTATAAAATTTAAAAAGTGGGTAGAAAATTGGCTTTTGTGGTAAAAAAAGCAAGAACTGGAAATAAAAGGTCATTTTTTCTGACTGGCAAAATGTGATTAGTAACCCCTCAGAAATACAGTATATGTTAGGATTTTAGTAGTTCTCTGTGTTAACGAATTGGATAGCTTCTTGGACAGTAACATGGAGTAACATATATATGATTACCTACAAGCATTGATTACATTGATTAGTGTAGTAAAGTAATTTATTAGTCAAACTTACAATTGCTTGATTAATTTCATGAAAGTAATCAACTAGTGTTTACTGTTTTTGATAATTCCATCTACCCAGTAATTGAAATTATGATAAAATCAGTTCAAGTCATGAAAACTCATTTGGAGTACTGTGTACAGTCATGGTCCCTTTACCGTGATCAAGCTTCTAGAATGATATAGGTAAATTAGTAGGAACTTTTAAAGTGGATCGGAATTGTAGGGACATAGATAGTCTTCCTGTTGCTTGTAATTTTGAATGGTGAAATGAAAAGGTTGGTAAAGCAAACTTGAATATAAGGAGTAGTAGGTTTAAGCTTTGGAAGACTAGATGCAAACTTTGCTTTTAAATAGATTGTCTTATTATTTTTTTTGTTAGATTTGTAAACTTGTGTTTTATCTGATGATGTAGTACACATGCACACATTACCTTATCCAATAATATAAAACTGACCTTTAATCTTTACACAGTGACCTGGCTGTGTTTTAGTAGACTAGTAATTTGTAAAATAGTCAAATATCCATTATTATATATGTATATAGATTATTACTATTTTGAAATTAGTTCTTAAACTTATTTTTTTTAAAACATAGAACAGTAAATATAGAAGTAAAACAAACAATTATCTCTTCTAGTTATAACCTTTGTACTCGGTTGCTACTTGTCATGGTTTACTAAGCCTTTTAAAATTGCACATGTGGAGGATATGAAACGAAATAATTTTATTAGGTTAATAATTTTATATATACAGTTGAATAACCAAAAAATCATAAATTATTATATCGATACTTTAGAATTCCACTATAATTTATCGAGCTTAGTATCTAAGCTATATTTGGGTCTAAAACAATATTAAATTTTGAGCATACTAAAGACACAATCTACATCCTTAAAATCTTGGTTCAAAAGAAAGAGATGGTGTCCTAACACATGAAAATGGCTGAGAAAGCCACTAGGGGACATTCTGAGCATTCGATTGGTTATTCACATGTCATATACTGAAGTAAGTGTATATGAGGGACCATTTCCAATAATGGAAAGAAGTGATCGGGGGCACTTTGTTTGATTTATTACAAGAGCAATATCTTAGCAAATAGAAAAGATAAGAGGTTCTTATTTTATATTCTAGCTTGTCAATATCAGTAATTTGAGTTCCTAATTCATACCAAACTATAGACTTAGTATTTTGACATCACAAACGTCTAATTTGAACTAGTGCTGCATTCAACATATCACATGACACACAAAAATTGATATTTAACTGTGTTTTTTAATATTTACTTTTAAATTAAGAAATTAAATAATGTATAATACTAAAATTGTATTATAATCCACAGTTTGATACCAAACTTAATGACATAAATTCATGAAATAGTAGTTCAATAAAATTTTGAATATGAGTCAACAAATTCGATGACCTGTGACTCGTCTGGAGAGGCTTGATAGGATTGATTTTATATTATACAGTGCATTGCAAAAGTATTCACCCCTATTAAAAATGTCACATTTTAACGAAATACAAATATTTAAAAAGTTTTTTGAATGAACTTGTTTTTATTCAAAACTCTGATGATCAAACTTACACTGTGAAGGAGGTTGAATGTCAGCAAAACCTGCAAAGAAAATATATAAATTGAAACTTGCTGAAGCTGATGATATCCTGGTGTTCTTCTCTCACCAAACATGTCATGGGGGGGGGGGGTGAAATGGCTGTATCAGTTGATGAGTCATTACCCAAAACTAACAAGATTAGTGATGGTGAGCTACTGAAGGTTGCAGCTGATTCTGAGTCACTCCATTAGGATCCTGCTAAGGCTGTGGACAGTGATAAAGAAGATGATCATTAGCTATCTCAAACATTGTGAGTTTTTTTGTGCAGCAAAAGATTCTTGGGGATCCAGTGTTTGGTTTCCTGAGGACCATTGAGGGTCATATATATACAGCCAAATTATGAACTGTACGGAGCAGAAAATGATAACAGATTATTTTTAAAACAAGTTTGCTGTTTATGTAACCTTTGTAAAGTTCATCCATTGTAATAATTCATTTAATATTTGAGTTTGTTTGGCTTTCATTATCACTGGCCAACATGAAGCAATTATCATTTGTTCTTTCCATGAGAAGTGATAGTAGGACTCTTCCAAGCAGCTTCTCCTCTTTGTGCATTTCCTTATCTAGTCATTCATATTTATATCAATATCTGGTTATTACCAACTTTTTCTGGGGAACCAAGCAGTTGTCAGTAAGCAGCTTTGACCATATTTTGAAATATTTATATATTATAAATTGTAAAGGAAATGTATATATTTGTGGCAATTAATAGAAAAATCTGGATTACCATATTAAAAATATTTCTTTATAAACTATGAATTATATTGGTTATGTGTGAAATGTATAATATTTGATGCAAATTTCTTTATTGTACACATCATGAAGAATATCAAAATTCTACTGAAATGTTAATCTAAGTGGGAGAAAACTAGAAACTTGAAAATATTTTTTGCTCATTTCAGTCCCTTTTACACCACCACCCCAGTGGCACAGCAGTATGTCTGTGGACTTACAATGCTAGAAACCGGGTTTCGATACCCGTGGTGGGCAGAGTACATATAGCCCATTCTGTAGCTTTGTGCATAATTACAAACAAACAGTCCCTTTTCCTCTATAAGCCAAACATTGTGTTCTTTGGCCAATTATTTTAAAAGCTAGTGTGTTGAAGTTTTATAGTTTACCTTCATAATAATTTCAAAAAATTTTTTTTAATCTCCTATAAGAATGATGAATGAGAGAGATAGGCTCCAAGCTTCTTGTTCATATTTTTTGTACATGTATAATAGTTTCATTTTAAAGCACGTTTAGTATTTTGTAACCTTTGACCCATTTTTGAGAGCCTAAAGTTTTTTAAAAAAAGGTTTCAATTTAATAGTTTATGTGGTAATTTTTAGTCTTTCTTACAGTTTGCAACTTTGTTGTTCATGATCGCTGTCTGAAAACGGTTGTATCTCCTTGCTCTACAAATGCCATTCACGTTTTAAAGGTAGGTCAATTTAAATTTACTGTGCTTTCTTTAGATAATGTACATTAGGGTGGTTCTTATTTTCTGAAGTTTTGGTTTACAATACTCATCCCTCATTTTGTTCCAATATATAAATAATTCACACCAAATTTTATCCATATTGAGTAACTTTTTGGGGCTGCTCAAGGGGTTTGAAATATTTCTTTGTAGCCACATTATACTTGCATAAACTGGAATATTCAAAATAATTCTAGAAAGTTTTAGATTCTTGAATGTTCTAACATATTATTATGGAATATTGCTGTATATTCTGAAATATTCCAAAGTATTCCACATCATTCAGAATGTATGGGGCTATCCTCTTGTCTAGATGTTGCAATTTTCAAACTCTTCCAGTAATTTTGGGAATACGTGGACCAGTCAAGTTATAAAACTGCAGCTGGTCATGATGAAATAGCAGAAGCTATAAAGGAAGTTAAGGACAATGTCATTGGGTTTGCTACAAGACAGCTTCATGAAGTCCAGCCAACCTAGAGACAATTATTGAGAGCTTTTTCAACTAGACATAATTTTTCTTTGTATTATCCCTCTTCATAGTATGTGGTTTATAGCACTGCATCATGCATAATGGATGGCCAAGGCATTATATGCTCTCAAGATCTGGATGATTATGGAACAGTTAAAGCTCACTGGCTGTAAGGACTCTGTGGCACTTGCATCTTTGTTCAAGTCTATCTTAGAGCATGGTTCACTGCTCCTGTTGCCATTTCTATTCCTAGCAATGACCTTAACTTCTTACTATGTCTTGTTTAGTATAAGAAGATGAATTCTGTTCTTTTAGAATCTGCCTGTCAAACATTTGCTAGACATCTGTATCTCAGAGAGTAACTCATTGTTTTGGCATTCATTGATTAAGCTGTGTCTACAAATACAAAACAAGCAATAGTAAAGTCATTAAATGAGAAGGAATTCATGGATGAACCTCTAAAATGTATCCAACTGAATATCAAGAAATCTAAGGACATGTCAGTTGAAGATTTTGTCACAAAGGACACAACAAGTTTCTTCGGGTACCTCTAAATTCTGTTTGGATTTCTGGATTATGACCCCAAGTCATGGGAGATCAGAGAGAACTAGAGTGAGGCACTACAGATTGTTCAACACTTGAATGTGGTAAATGACAATTCTGAAAAAGATGTAGCTCTTATTTGGGAGTATAATTCCATAAGTTGTGCATTATCATAGAAGATGCTTTCTTAATAATAAAATGAAAACATTAACAATACAAAGGTGACTAACCACACCACAGGACTTGTGATAACAATCAATTAATTGAGATTAGTGTTTTTGCTTATTACTGTTTTTGATTATTTCAATTATCCAAGTAAACTAAATATTACTATTATGATTTATCATTCTTATTCTTTATTAATTCAAATTTGTTCAGCATGGCCTGGTGATTAGGACATAGTAATTCAAAGTTCCTTTGAGTTTGATTCCCATTTCCACCACAGCTCTTTCAGCTGCTAGTGCATTATATGTATTTTTTATGACTTATGATAAAACTGGTAAAACTACCAGCCACTGCCCCTAATTTTGAACTGCTGACCAAAGCGAAGTGTTAAATAAAGTGTAAATTTATTCCTTTTACATTGTGTTATGCTTCTAATTTACAATTTTATGTAACTGTTTTCTTTAGTGTTAAATAAACTATAAATTTACTTTTTCAACATTGTATATGTCTTATATTTGTTATATCACATCTCTTACTTTCCTAAATGGGGCCTGGCATGGCCTGGTGTTTAGGATGCTTGATTTGCAATATGCAGGTTTTAGGTTCAAATCCCCATCACCAAATATGCTCACACTTTCAGCCATGGGGGCATTATAATGTTACAGTCAATCTTACAATTCATTGGTAAAAGAGTAGCCCAAGAGTTGGTGGTGGGTGGTGTTGACTAGCTGCCATCCTTTTAGACTATCACTGCTAAATTAGGGATGGCTAGTGCAGGTAGTCCTTGTGTAGCTTTGCGTGAAATTCAAAACAAGCCAAAATTTCCTAAATTTGTGTCCAGGTGGAAGTTGTATTAACACTGGCACATCTCGAAAACACACAACTCTGATCATGGAGCAGATGCCGGCGAAGAAGCATTCCTTATACACTCAGTCATGCCAGCCTTGTAACTATGTAATAAATTACAAAAGTAAATGTACTAATTGACTTTCAATAAATAATAACAAAATCAATAAAATAATATAATATTAAAATTTTCAAGTATGAAAAGGGTTCCAGAGCGGAATCTATGGTCAACCTGAATATATCACAATTTTCTAGGATTTGTCTGACCCCAACTACAATGCTAAGATATTTATCATCCCTCCAACTTTTGTCAGAAGCCTCTCAGCAATTGCCACATCAGTTTGATGACAAGTTAGGACCATTATTAGCATGTACATTGGTTTGATTGTCAGCTTCTGCACTCTCCCTAGTCTCTTGGCTGGTATGTTGTTGGGATTTGTGGGGTAGAGATGTGTTATTGGATGGCACTCATCTTCCCGCTGCTGCCCTCAAGGAGTTACATGAGGCCCCCTTTCTCCGACCCTTGATTTTTGCGGGTGTTCTAGAGTCTTTGGAATCAGTGGTAGATGTCTCCCATCTCCATTCATCCCTGTTGTTGTTGTTGGCTTATCGACTTTCCCTGGCTCATAAAGGGGGTCATAGTTCCACTCGTATGTGAACCCCAACATCAACTGCTTGATCCATTGGTACCTAGAATAGATTCCATCCATATCCATGAGGTTCCTCTACTCAGTCAGAATGCTGCCAGTGGTTGGGGTGACGACCTTATGCCTTTGGGGTCTGTGGGGGCTCGGCTCCAAGAATTTCTGGATGTGTGGAAAACCTTTACCATGGATCCATGGGTACTATAGGTTCTTGCATCAGGATTAGTTATACAGTTCACATCTTTACCACCATAATCCATCCAACCTGTAGTGTTTCTGCATTCCATAGATCCTCAGATTTTGGAACTTTCTTCTAGGGCTATCAGAGATTTGTTGGTCAAGGGGGAAGTGGAGAGAGTTCTTTCAGGATTTTATTCCCATCTGTTTATTGTGCCCAAGAAGACAGGAGATTGGCATACAGTCCTCAATCTTTCTTGTCTAAATCAATTCCTAGATCTTCCAAGGTACACGATGGAGTCACGCCTCACTCTGCATTGGCATTTTTTAATAGGACTGTGGATGACTAAGTTCAATGTCACTGACTCCTATCTGCATGTTCCCATAATGGAGTTGTTCCACCACAATCTGTTCACAAGAGTCAGGTGCTGCAGTTCAGAGCTCTGCCCTTCGGACTAGCATTGGCACCATATGTTTTCTGCCAAATCATACAAGATTTTTCTCCTCACCTCCATTCCCTAGGTCTGTGCACACACCATTACATGGATGACTGGTTACTCATCTGTTGGTGGGACATCACACCCAGATTCTGCTTTCAGAAGCAACCACAGCAGGCTTTATTATCAAAGCCAAGAAATCTATTTTCACTACAACACAATATATCATCCATATGGGTGTCTTTTTCAACACGTATCTCAGTATAGTTCAACTGACTTCCATCCGGCTCCACACTATGGAAGAGGCAGTCCGATTCTTACTCACCTCTCCTTATCCCACTGTGCAGATGTTTCTTTCTCTTTTGGGGATGTGGACATCACTTGAATCTCTCATTCCTTCAAGATAAATGCACATGAGATCCTTTCAGTTGTCTCTTCGTGACCAATGGATCATGAACAGTGATTCACTTGATTCCCCAGTCTCCTTATTCAGGATCAACATCTTTGATCTTGTGTGGTGATTAGATCAGAACAATACAAGGATAAATGTTCCTATGTTGCTACCTCATCCAATGATCCATCTCTTCATGGATGCATCGCTTAAGGGATGGGGTGCATATCTTAACAGTCAGGAATTTCAGAGCCTATGGATGGATGACGAGGCTTCCCTACATAATGTTTACAATTTTTTTGCTGTTCAAAGGGTGATTATCATGCTTCACTTTGACAATTCCACTGTGATGTCTTTCATTTCCTGTCAAGGGGGCACTCGGTCCAGGTCATTTTGATTCCAAGCCTTGGATCTTCTTTCTTGGCCCCACTCCCATCATATCATCCTGCTAGCTTGGTATGTTCTTGGAGTGATGAATTTGGTGGCAGCTCAATTGTTTTGACTCAGCCAGATTCTCCAAACAAAATGGATGCTACAACATGAGGTTTTCCATTTGATTTGCTTGCAGTTCCAAACACTGATGATCAATGTGTTTGCCACTCATTGAAACACTCAAATACTGACATTTTGGTCTCCAGCACCTCACCTTCAGTCATTGGCAATAGGTGCATTCAGCCAGGACTGACAGAATTACACCTCTACCTTCCCACAAATTCGTAAGTTACTCTGAGTACTAGCTATGATTCATTTAAACCTTGTTGCCTTCTGTTGACAGCACTGGATTGGTCAGTTAACCTTGGTTTACATCTCTGCAGTACGTTCAGGAGTGCTCACTACTTCCCCTTTGGCCATCTCTGTTGAGGCAGCCACAATTTGACATCATATACCCAGCTATCTTGAAGCTCAAGCTTCATGCATGGACGTTATGCTGTCCTTTGTTTAAGTTCTAAGGATATGATGTATCTGTATCAGTCTTTTCGTAGTTCCATGATGGACATTTTTAAATGGAAATAGCACACATATCAACAATGACAATGGTGTATTGCGAGGAGGTTGAACCCACTTCGTCCAGAAGTGTCAACCATAACTCATTTTTTGACCTGGATCTTTGACAAGGGTTTTGCATCTTTCACAATCGCCTTATATAAGGTAGCTGTATATTTGAGATGAAAATTACATGTCCCCAGTGCTCTCAGGTCTCCTTAGGTCATTTCGGATCATTCATACCAAATGACCATTTCAGTTACCTAACTGGGATATTAAGGTGGTATTACCTGGTTTTTCTCAACACA